CACCAAAGTCCTCCGACAGTTCCTGCCCTACACAAGTAGCAAGGCAGAGCAGGGTGTGTGTGCACTCGCATGCATACATGTGTGTGTGTGTGCCTGGATGACTATTTTTTTTAAATGTAAAGGCAGGACACATAGCAACCCCCCCAGCCCCCCTTCCCCTGCCGATGGCACAGCTGGAGCAGAGCCAAGTGGGGTGGGGGAAGATGCAGGATGCCTGTTGCAGGCTTGAGGCTCCCCACCCTGTTGCCTTTCACCCAGGCTTCCCATACTGGCCATGTGCCCCCCGCCTACCTGGCAGCAGTGGGGGGCACAACTCCATGCTGCCACCACCCCGGCAGCTGCTGGACAGGCAGGGGGTGCATTGCCATGGCAGCTCAGGGCTCCCAGGGGAAGGGCAGCAGGGTGGGGAATCCTGAGCCCGCAGTGGGCATCCCACATCTGCCCTGCCCTGCACACAAATCTGAAAGGGTATGTGCCCCCCCATGCCTCCCCTTGGGGCTTGAACACAGTGGCAGGGAGCCACCCTCCCCCATGTCCCCTGGATGAGCCACCTGTGGCTCTGTCCTGCTCCCCACCCCAGCCCTGGGGCCCCATGTGCTGCCCCATGCTCTGCCCAGGCTTCTTCCCACAGCTGTCACAAATCTGAAGCAGCCTCCACCAGCCCTGCTGGCATCAGCACAGGGGTTGGTGAGGCAAGGATGGATTCCCTACCCACCCCATCTATAGCCTGCACAGTGGGGGGAAGAAGGGGGAAGCCCCTGGAGATAGGGGCTTCCCTCCCCCCCACCCCCAGCATGGCTCTGCTTCCCTAGCCTTGCCTCCTCACCTCACCTCTCAGCCACAGGGGACAGGCCAGGGGAGGGAGGAATGGCCCCCCACTCCTACCATAGCTCGCCAGCCAGGGTCTGCACAACAGGTGGGGGGGAAGCCCCCAAGGCGGGGGCTTTCTCCTCCACATGGCTACTCTGCCAGGCTGCAAATGCCCCAGCCCTGTCCTCTCACCAGCCCCCTGCCTGTCAGCTGTGGGAGCTCCCCTCACCCCCCACTGTATAGACCCCGACTGGGAGGCCAAAGCAGAGGTCCTTTCCCGCTCCACCTGTCCCCTTCCCCAGCTGACAGGCAAGGACTAGCAAGGGTGTGTGCTGGGGATTTGCAATCCAGAAGGGCTGGGAGGTGTGCAGCAGCACCCCCACTTGGGCAGTGCAAGCATTTTCCTGCCTTGGCCAACCCCTGAGTGAACATGTATTCTGTCTGATAAAGATCCAATCTACACAACTTATAAAATGCTGCATAAATTAAATTTATTCCACCTCAGGCTTTTTGACTCTGTACTTAGCCATAGTGTCTCATCTAAATCAGGCAGAATAAGGGCTTGAACTCTTGGTTTTCCATAGCCCACTGGACCAGAAATTCTCTTCATATCAAACTGGCATATTTATGTTCCTGGTCTGACCAGGTCAAGAAAAGACCAACAGGTAGAGACTGAGATGAAAGGCATGAGCTCCAGAAAGAAGGAGGGATCTTCTCACCAACAAAATGTGCACAGCCAAGGAGCACTAGAATGGGGCTCCCACCTTGGGTATAGTCACTAACTCCGCTTGCCTTCTCCAGCCCCTTATGGGTGCTGGTACTAAAATATCCCCTCACCCTGTGTGACAGCTCTCCCTCCTTGCACTAACAGAAGTGACAGGAAGTCTATCTTGAGGCTTCTGGCTATGAGGGTGGGTTGGTTATAGTGGAAGCAGGAACCTAGCTAGCAGTCATTTGAAAATAGGCATCGTTACCTTTGGTCCTTGAGACTGAAAGGGCCAGGTGAGGGAATGGGCTTCCGAAGATGGTCTGGGAAGCTCAGAATGAGGAATAGCAAGACAAGCAAGCATTGGCTGGGAGAGATATGAGCCATAACAGCCTCAGGGCTACCACCCTATCCTTCCCTCCCTACAGGCTGCTGGCTGTGAAGGTGGCAGAAACTGGATACTGTAGTACATTCCCCAAGCACTGTGGGGAGACACAGGCTTCTCACTGATCCTAGGCAAATAGGAGCATTCAGAACTCATTATTTTTTATTCATTAGTCATTACTCTCTTGTATAAAAGAGACTAAGACCAGACCAGTGCTGGCCTTAGGGTTGTTGGGGGCCCTGGGCAAGAGAGTCATTTGGGACCCCTAAGAGGTATGTACTCAAGTAAATATTAACCCACCACAGTTGTATCATGGATCTTTTTAATTTTCTTTGGGGGAATTAGATAAATAGTCGAGTGTTAAAATGCAAATAGAGCCACTTACTTGCAAAAACTTCACCCCCCCAAAAAATGTGGGGCCCCTAAAGTGCGAGGCCCCAGGTGGTCACCCCATTTGCCCTCCACTAAGGTTGCTACTGACCAGGCCTACACACAGATATTGCACTAATTGAGCTAAAGCAGTTTCTTAACAAATTGAATTAAAATATCCTCTTTTTATGGACACTCTTAAATCAGCTTCAGTCATTAATATTAATTTAGCTCTTTCCTTACTAAATCCTGCTGTCAAACAATGAGATGCTAGTTTTGATTACTCATGATTTGCTGTTCTGGCTCCTATTCTTCCATAATGGCCAGTCCATGCACAGAAATTGCACCAAGCAACTGAATTAAAGTAAGCTGACAAACTGGGCTGAATGCATCACTGACATCAGTAGAGCTAACCCATATACCCCATTGTATTATACATAGAAACAATTAAGACAGGGAGGCAGAGAGTTAAAAGAGCTGCTTTTAAAGCTTAGACTGGAAGAAAGGCATAGACATTCACATACACCTGGAAAGCCAAGAGTCAAGAACAACTAGCAGTTACCACTAAAAGAAAGAGCTCTTTTCAGAGACCAAATATAATCACTCCCTCCCTGACTCACCATCACATGTCCAGACTTTTTAAACCATCTTTTATTGACTGTTTTCCAATTTGTTATCTCTCTTGTTTGCAGTGAACTGAGATCAGAAAGGTTTTGGGGTTTGTTTGGTTTTTTTGTTTCCCTTTGGTTTTTTTGGAAGACCTAATGGATATTGAATCACAGTTACCTGGCAGACAGGAAAATCAATAGGTCTCTTAAAACTCATTCACTTTATTGTTTGATCCTAATCTTTGCACCAGTGTCTGTAAATCACATGATAGTTGAAGCAGCACCCCTATAAAACCCAGAATTTCTGAGAAAGTTCTGGTAAAAGTGAAAATGATTGTCAAAACTCAAGCTGAAAACTGCTTTTCAGGAAGCTCTTGTCATCATTCCTGGACCAGGGCACCAGTACAGCTCCAGATTTGATTGTGGATATCCAGAGGAGTTATATATGGTAAACACATACAACTGCTGTAAAAATTAAAAAGTTAACTTTCAAAGAATGAACTGATGCTGTCTAGTGTCCAAATGCCCGTCAACAATGCATAGCACATTGTGGTGGTTTACTCTGAGCATGAACCGATTCGGGACATGTTTCATAGTTTCATAGTGTTCAACTACATTGCCAATACAAGATAGCCGTCAAGCATCTGAAGTAACGACTTACATGCAGGAGAGAAATAGTTTTAATACTGAATGAAACCTCAGTTCGCAACCCAGTCTAAAGAATTGATCTTTGCTGTTGATGCATGGGGACATGGGTGGCTGTTGTGATATTAGGACAATGGTCAATTCTTGAGATTGCTTCTACAGGCATAATCTTCCCTAATTTTGCCTTGAGTAATGAAACACTTAGTGCAACTACTGGTATGGTCTTGAGGAAAGTTCCTGGATCCCAAGTTAGACAAGTAAATGCAGCAGCACAGAGGAGCCAGCTTTTAATACTGGCAGGTACTCACTTGAGGTAGGGGGGAGGGGAAGGGACTTATTTTTTTGCATAAGGCCTTGACTGGTCTTCCCAGAATACTGCAGGGGTCTCTTCCTGGCAAAAACCTAGAACTTCTGTGGAAATGACGTTGCTTTTTCCGAGTATGAAAGTATGGATCAGATTTCTAAATGCCCTTCAGGAATGTACAATGTGTGTTATGGGCATCTGTTACTGATAGGAATTACATTGACTTACTTTTCTCCCAGCTTGGTTTGGTTGCAAACACAGATGCATGTTTCCACCACTGAGGTAATATTTCACATGTGGTGCCATCAGTTTTCTCTGCTTCAGAAAAAGGAAGCCATCAGTATGCTGGCCTGATTTTAGTCTTGGGTGTGTTTAGCGTCCCAGACAAACCTGCTGACAGATTCTAACCACTGGCACAGACAGACACCCAATTCTGAGGAATAGAATTTCTTTTTGGGTGACTCACAAGCAATCTCTTTTCCTGATATTTTCAGACAAGTGTTATTGATTATTTTACTGCTAATTTGACCCTTTGCCATGAATCTTGCTCAGAACAAGTGTTTGCAAGACATCCTAGAGTCTGAATCACAGCTATCTGGCAGGCAAGAAAATCAATAGCTCTGCTAAAACTAATTGCATGTCTTGTTTGATTGTCCTATTTGCACTAACTGATACCTGAAAATCATGTGGCTCTTTGAGACACAGTCACTATCTTCCCTACCATTTCTGTAAAAGCTCCTGTGTATTGTCCACAATACCTCTAAAAGCTTAGTACCACCCTACCTGGGCCCAGAGGCCAGACAAGTGGCACAGGGCTAGTCTGCAGGTAGCACATGGGGTTCAGTTTGTAGGATTGATCTAGTGCAGGGCCTGACATGCTGGATCTAGCTGTAGACCAACCTACATGCTAGCTCCAGCTGCAGCCCACACACTGGCCAGATCCCCTGTGTCAGATCTGGCCACAGCCTGACCCTGCACACCGAATCCGGCCGTGAACACTGTTGGGATTTGGCATATGGGTCTACATCACTAGAAAAAGAACCCTGAAATTCTAATGCAATGTTGTTCAGTTGCTATCAGGGCTGCCTTGTTCTGTGCATCAACATGTATATCTATCAAATTAAATTAAACAGAAACATTAAACTCAGATAGTTTCATTTGCTGTCCAAAAGTTCTGCCTAATCCCTCTGCATACAGCTGTGCTCCACCCCAGAGCTGGCTTCCCTTTAAAAGAAGAGAAAAACAGTGAAGTCTTTATAAAGATGTTCCCATCATTTGTATAATACATTTGAAAAGTATGGAGGGCTCCAGCTGGATGAAAGGCTTTAATTACATCAGTGTCAAATTGGTGTTGCTTTCTTCAAACCATATATTACCCTCACCCCACACACCATTTGGACCTGAATCCAGTCCCCTAGCAGCACTTTGACAGCTGCACTGAGGTGACAGTGTATGTTTTCTTCTGAAGGCGGATTCAAAAGCCACATTTCCATTTGTGAAGTCCATGCAGCAAGCCCATCTGTTTTACAAATTGACAGCAACCCAGAGACAGGTAGCATCTGCAATTTCTGAATCTGCAACATTTGTGGTAATAGAAAAATCAGAGTATTCAGATTTTGAGACAGTCCTTCACATCCTATTTCCATGTGTCCAGGAGGTGCCCAGCCTGATGCTCTGCTGCTTTTCTTTAGTAAGGTCATTTCACATGGCTCCAGGGGTTATTCCTTCTTGCTTTGGGCACCCTTTATAGGATTAAAGTCAAATAAAGGGGCATTAGTGTGAATGAGAATCAGACCTAAATACCCACTCCAAAATGCATGGGCTGCAATCTTGGGAAGTGCAAATTGGCAAGAGGTGTAAAATCATGTGACACAACTTGCACACCTTGTCTATACCAGCTGCCTTAAAAATGTCCAACTGGTGTAACCTTCTTAGTGACAGGAATAATGGAAATACAGTGGAAAGAGGACACTGCAGGCCACTGGATTTTAACCTCTCATCAGTTAGGTCTAAGTAGAATTAGCTAATGCAATGGTTAGATTACCAGCAGCTGAGATACATGAGTGCCCCTGCCACTGCCCACATGCAGGTGCCAGGGTGGTAAATGTCAGCAGCCCACATGGCCCTGCAGAGGACATAGATTGGTGACATCCTGCCCCAGAGAAGTCAATGACCTAACTCCAACTGGCACTTACTGCAACAGCTGCCTTGTGAGAGCTGGTCATTTGTCCCCTCAAGACATCAGTTTACCTTATGTCAGTGCACAAAATGTACATAAGTAACATGGGTATAAACATGTCACGTCCACATGTCTGGCTGCGGCTCCTAGCTGCTGGCAGTACGACTGACTGACTTTTTGTCCAGATGCTGCCAAATCACAATGATATTTATTGTATTTTGGCCTAGTTTAGTTCCCTTTCGCTTCCTCAGGGGTGAAAAAAGGCCAGTTCTTGGTGCCAGTGAAACCAATGGCAAGCTCCCATTGATTTCTGTGGGAGCAGGATGATGCCTACAGCTCAGAGGGCACTGCAAGGCCCTTTGTTGTATGTACCATGCTAGCTCCCACCCAGCCAAGTTAGTGCTGCCTCAGTGCCTCTCTCTTTCCTCTGCTCTTCCACCATGCCAGCATCCCTACAAACCCACCCTGGAGTAAATCAATAGAACATTCTTGTGACTGCAAGACACAGATGCTACTGACAGGAGCTAAGGGTGCAGCAGGGGAATAGAGTCACAACAAGTGTCTATCACTGCTTGAGGTTTGTTGCAGCTTGATGAGTGGGAGGTAAAGTCAATGTTAGGAAAGTCAGAAAAGCCAGGACTCCAGGGCATCCCCCCCACAGTGCCTTTGGCACTTGCTAACTCTGCTGCTCTCTCAGAAATCTGCTGCTGCATCTCCTGAATAAGAAATGAAGCAGTCCTTCCGTCCAGGAGTGACAGCCAGCCTGCTCCCTGCCTAGGTGACATCAGAGCAAAGTGTCATGCTGGCATTGACAAAGGAGCCCTGTGAAAAGGACTTGGCGTGTTTAAGCAGGGAGAAAATTCCCAGGAGATTCAGGGATAGTCAGTGCTGCAGACATGAGCTGGATGGACAGGACCAGCTGATGGCTGCATGAGGCCTCTCTGAAAGGAGCTGGTGTCTCAGCACAGCTCCCTGTGGGGTAAGCTAAGTGGGGGCAGCCAGGCCAGCTGCCCCAGGCAATGTCCTTCAGGGAGGAAGGGTGCAAAAATAAGAAGCTGGTCTCAGTGTCTCAGCAGCTGGCACTGCCCCATGTGCTGTGACTGCCCAGAGTGCAGTGTTGCCCTGCTAGGCCTCTAATAGTTCCTAATGAACTGGTATCTACATCCAAATTGGTATCTCAGCAGAGGGAGGCAGGACTAAGGGGTGAAGGCCCACACTGTGTGTCTGCCCCTGCAGCTCCAGATTGATGAATCACTGTTGTTTCTACTGACTTTAATTTGGCTATAGAGGTAACCATTCACAAATGAAAATGGGTCTTAACCTTGATCCCAGCTTGAACATCCCAGATAAAGATCTGGACCTTCTCTCTGCGGTAACCCAAAACCCTGAAGCACCACGCAATAGAAGGGGTTGGAAATCCAGACCAGAATTATCTGATTCAAACCCATCCATCTTTGTCAGTAAAACAGCTCTTTGAACTTTTCTTCCTCCAAGGCTCTTGGACCAGTGTGATCTCCATATTTAATTTTATTGGATTTTCTGGTTTTGTCTGAGATAACCATGGGTTTTAGGTAGGGTGCCCAAAGCAGGGAGGTGTTTCATAAACAAGGTGACATCACACAGGAGACTAAAAGAACTTCTCATGCTTAGGCACATCCCTCCCCTGCCCACAGGGGCCTCACTCAGGGCAGATGGGTTATAGGTGACTTATTAGAAGTGGCACATGAAATATGGTCTCCATAGAAGTGAGGTCTCAGGCCTCCTATCTTCTTTGCATTAAAACCTGCAAGGCGATGAATGGATGAGATTAATGTAGAGAACTGGAAAAATCCTGTGTAATGGTTTGGAACATGTCACTCTTGGTGTTCTCCTTCTGGTGGTCAGGCTGTGACTGCTCAGCGTTCTTGAGAGTAGTGCTCGCTTTGTCAATCACATTGAAATCACAAGGCCACCCTAATGGAAAGGACAGCATATGACATTCATATAATTTATCCTCGAGTTCAAAGTAACTCCCTGCTTTCTACATGGGGGCTCCCAAAACCAAGGCCCTCAAAATCAGGGACCACCTTGGAAAAGGTTGACATAGGAGTTGAACTTGACTCTTGTACCATGATCCAAGGCAGTGTGATGGGTAGCATACTAGACATAAGGCTACTATTCAGGCTGCCATCAGCAGCACATGGCAGTTCTCAATAGCAGGAGCAGCATTCCTACCTACTCCAAGCTGCAGTGGACAGTTCCTAATAATCATCTGCAGTAGCCTCCCTCATCCCTCCCTTCACCTGGCATAGCAGCCTGGCTATCTCCCCACTATGTCCCCATCCCTCTCCCTCCTGGAAGTGAAGGCTCATGCCTCTAGGTCCTCATCATACCTGGTAAATGGCAATGCTGACCTTACTCCACTGGGTGTTTAGCACAGAAGGGAGAATGATCCCTGCACTGAACATATCTAGAGAAGACAAATGCCATCATCAGCCTGTAACCTGTACTTTCAGGAGCAGCTCTCATTCATGCCAGTAACTCATTCATGACCCATGTGTGAGAGGCCTTTGCCTGCACCCATCTCTCTAAGGAGAGGTCAAGGAGAAGGAATGATGAAACCCAACCAAAATCCTGTGTCCAACTATCCCAGAATTCTGGGGTAGCTGAAAGCTGTTCTAGCCTGAGCACAGCAGTTTGGGTCCAGCTGCTTATATTAGCCCACATTGATTGAGTCCATTTGCAGCTGGCAGTGGCTGGCCCCTTTTCATCTGCCTCAGTAGAGAATGGGCTGTGGAACTACCTCCCCAGAAAAGGGACATGACACACTGTCAAGGGAGCAAGAATGGTCATTGCCATCCAAAGGAAAGAAGGGCGACTTGGTGGCTGAGGGCTGGAGGCCTGCATTTAATTTCTTCTTTGCCACAGACATCTGGTGTGATGTTGGACCCATCATTTAATCAACCTCATTCCTCATTTGGATAATGGAGCAGGGACCTGCTGACATCCCTGGAGAATCATAAGGCTACAACCATGAGAAAGAGGCAAGAAAATTGTCCATGCTTGTCAGAGGCATTTTAGTCCACAGGGCATTTTGTCTTGCTTCTTTCATGACTTTAGAAAAAATTCACTTCAAATGTCTCTACTGCTTTAGGCCCCTGTTGCCCTTTCAGCAGGTGTCATGGAGGTCATGCTGGGCTCCCCACATCCACCAGCCACCAGTCTACTCAGAATGCTATGAGCTCCCACTATGTCTCTCTGCTCTTACCATTCATGGTTGGGAGGAACCTATCCTGGAGAAGGTCCTTGATCCATCTATGGAAGGTCTGGGCCTGGAACAGAAGGATGGAATTCAGCAAGTGCCTCTGTCACCGCAGATCAGCCTGAGCTGACATCTAGACACCCCCAAAACTTGCGGGGGTAGAGAGCTGTGTGGTGCTTAGATCCCATCTTTGAAAGCTGCAGTGATAGTCTCATGTCATAGTATACAACAGAGCCAGGATGTTAACCCCTCCCAGACCCTGGATTATGCATATCTACATGTGCATTAATGTGCCATGGTTAGTGTGCATTTAGTTTAGTACCTGTAATTACAGGCACTAACTAAATGTGCAGTAAACAGCACTACTGTGCAGTAATGCCAGTGCACACCTTTAAGTGGCACTAATGTGCAGTAGACTAATTCTACTGTGCATTAGCTCAAAAGCACAGCTTTTGCCATAATGTGCTAATGAACAGTAGAATTAGTCTACTGCACATTTAATGTATTGTGCAGATGCCCAGTGGGGATAAAAGGAGCTGTCTGTTACAAGAGGCAACACCATTTGGTGGTGAGAGCACTGAGACAGGGCTCATATGGTCTGATTGTATCTGTGCCACTGGTGCACTTGACCCCTTGGAGTAGTCACTGCCCCATCTGTTCCCTATCCTTCCCTGCCCCTTTTTTGTTTATGGATTCTGTAAGTTCTGCAGGACAGTGTCTGCCATTGCCTATGTGGCTTTGTAGTGCCAGGCACAGAGGGTCCCAGGCTCAGCATCTCTACCATACAACCAAATAAAGACATTTCATAAGAGGAATTTAAAAATACTTCCATGAGAAGAAAGAGTGCAAAAGCAAAGAACAACCCTGACCTGAACCCCAGAGTGGAAGAGACAGGAACACAGGGCTGGAAGGGACAAAGTGAGCATCAGATTCAGTCCCTTGAGATCACAGGCTCCATGCAATTGATATTTAGCTCAAAAGAGCCCTCAAGAGCAACCACTCCCACCCCTCACACATGCCCCCTTCATGGTCACAAAATGTCCCCAACACCCTACACCACCTTGGGATCTTTAGGATAAACAGAGAGAATCCCAAAAAACAAAAGTGTGCCACAGAAAGACAACAAAAGAGTCACAGGGTACAACCAACATCTTGAGCCCCTGCAATGGCAAGGAATTAGATAGGTAAAATATGCTTCTATGATCCTAGGAAATGGACAATGTCCCACCCTGTGAATGAAGGCAAAACACCCCCAGTAGCTCCTGCCAATCTGACCTGAGGGAAAACGCCTTCCTGACCACCTGGTGTCAGGAAGGACATAGTATGAGCAACACATGGCATGAGCAAGACACACCAGCCCAAGACCAGAGAGGTTTTTAAATACTACTAGAAGTGCTATTGCTTCCAAGCCATTCTCAGTCTCCCACCTGTAGCAGTGATGGGCAACCAGAGCTTCAGGGGAAGGAGAAACAAAACTTAAATACAACAAACCCCAGCAGCCAAATAATTCTTCCTAGCTCTTGCAGGTGACCAGCAGGACTCCTGAGGCACTAGATATATACAGCATAATGCAGAGGAATGGGTATTCTAACTATGCTAAAATCTCAGGAGGAAGAAGGATGAGAAAGGGACGGGAACTTAATCCAGGAAGGACAGTCACAAACCCCCTGACAGCCTTCTTTTCTTTGGCCAGCAAACTGTACAATTCCAAACTAACACATCACAAGAGCCAGGAGACCCAAATGTTTCCTTGTAGGGTTTTTGAGGCAGGTCTGAAATCTGGAACTTACACTGATGGAGCCAATAGGTGACTTATTCTGGACTATGTTGAAGCTACAGGAAAAATAAGAAGACCCAGCACATCATATAGTCAGGTGTAAGCTGTCAGGGAGCAGCTGCTTCAGATTCTTACCACTGAGGAAATCAGCTGGGGAGAGCAACAGCTGCTTTCATGCATCACTTCCCCATCACCCTCACCCACCCAGCCATAGCTCAGGCCTAAATATTTCCATCTTTTGGTGCAAGGGTATAACATCTTTAAGATTTTAAACGATATGAGAAAAAAAAGTCCTCCAAGCATGGTATTACAAAGCCATCTCAGGAGCCAGATACAGCTTGTGACAGGAAGAGGAGAATGAAGGCACCATGGCACATTCTAGGATTGGACCTCATTTGCATTGGTCACAACCATTAATGGGGATATATGTGAGTGAAGAAATGTTATAGGTAGGACAGGCCATGTTCAGGGAATTGGGTGTTGCATGTCTGTGTATATTTGGCATTCTGCATGTGTATGGTATTTGTCTAGGGTGAGTAGGCATGGTGAAAGCAGTTACATGGGATGAGCATGTCTGTGAATTAGGCACAGCCTGTGTGCATGTTAAGTGCATTTGAATCTAGGATGTAGGCATGTGTTTGGGTACATGACACTGGATGTGCTGAGACTTGAAGGGAAATCAAGATTAAGATTTATTTTAAAATGTATCAGTGGTATCTGGACATGTCAGCTGACAAAAAGAAGCTGAAGTTTACATCAGTTCTAATTATCAAGTGAATCATTAAGGTTGCATCCTGAACAGAAATAACTGGGTCTTTTGATTTACAGGGCTGTAGCGATACTGAATTATATGTAGCAAAAGGGGCACTAAGAAAATGCCTTGAAATCACAAGGCAAAATTGATCAGGAGGGAGCCAGAAGAACTGATGTGTACCTTTCATGTATCCTGCTTTTGAAAACACTCAAGGTAGCTGTGGCTCCTTTAGCTCAGGTGCTGATTGCTATACTGGGTTTTGTACAGGAAACATTGCATAACTGTGCCTGCAGTGAGCAGGGGTTAAAAGAAACTGCATTCCCCCCTTACATCTGCAGTGAACTGCCCAACACTGGTTTGGTAGCTGAGAGCTGAAAGGATGAAAATACACTGTTGGCCTCTCCTAGCAATGAATTCCTATCCTCCTTCCAGCATGCTGGCTCAGCTGGGCTAGCCTGCATCTGAGGGACTGCAACAAGGATCCAACCTGTCCCTACTCATTTGTTTTAGATGGGGAATAATGGGTACATGTGCAGCACTCACAGCCATTGTAGTAGGTGCAGCAGTGTAAGGGTTACCATGATGCCCCCACTCCTCCCTGTAAGGGCATATTCTGTATCATAACCTGGCTCCAATGTATTAGTTTTTAGTATTAGTGTAATTAAACTCCCCCCAGGGCATGATAAAATTATTAGTCATCAAGAAGTTTTAAGATTACATATTCATAACCATGTAGGTTATGGGCCAACTCAGAGCTGGGTGCAAGGTTAACACTGGCAGCTCCAGTAACTTCCACAGAGCTACACCCATTTGCACCAATTGAGAGTACGGCTCTGTGATCCTTTTCAGAGATTGCTAGGTGCCTTTTGTTGGTAGGATGTGACCTTCTTTGTGTGCAAACCCTCTGAGTTGGGATTTTCAAGGGGGTATATTTGGCATCCAAACTGCCTACATTCCTTTGAAAATCCAGGCCTTGCTGCTGACCATTACATTCCCAGTTTCTGCTGTGGCACTAGCATGAACTCACTGAAGCTGGGGCAGAACCTGGTTTGATAAATACCTGTCCTGGGATAAAGAAATCAACAGCTTGCCATCAACAAGAGAAAACTGGATCCTGGAGACAACAGCCTGAAATCACAATTAAAAGGGTCATTGACAAAGGTTAACATTTCAATGGTTCAGCTCAAACTGGAGCAGAGCTCTTTCCTCCTTGAAGCCTGTCGTGGCAGGGGAGAAAGCAGGGATACCAGAAAGCACATAATTTTGCTCCTGATGGCTGTGTTTTTGGTGTTATGGGCACACTGGTCTTCAATAAAGTGTTTATTGATAGGCAGGTGGGCTGTGGGTACAGCAGAGTTGGCTTCAGTACATTCATTTTCCACTCATCTCTGTGCTACAGAGATCCTCACAGTCATGGAGTGAAATGGAATATGGCCACTGATTGTCCTGCCCTTGCTGGCCTCAGTAGGGATATCTTGCCCTAAAGTACTTTTTTCTCCTGAGATGGGTTATGTAGGCAGCTGTTCCCAGTGCCCCAGTCTGCTGCTGCCACATCACAGTACAGATGAGCTGAGAACAATCATGTCCCCAGAGGCATGTTGCAGATTTGAGTCTTTCTGGAACTTGCAAAGCAGAGAATATGGAGGCTATAGGCTGAGGATTCATTTCCAGAGCACTGAAGGAAACCACAAAAGGGTCCCAAGGGCTGCTGCACCAGCTGCACAATGTGCTAGGATATATTTAATTGAAAGCCAAGAGAGATACAGAAAATGACAACCTTTGGGTAGGAAATCACTCAGCATTTACAGCCAGTAAGTAAATACTCTGGATAGTGGAAAATTCCCCACTTTCCACCCTCAAAAGAAGCTTGACAGAACTCCAGTATTGTTGATGGCCATCTGAGGTGGGCTGTAGCTGTCTTATGTCAATACTTACAACTTCCACAAGTAGAACCAGTTGTCTGGGTGTTAAGATCTTAATGGACAGAGTTTGCTGCACCTTGGGGCTCTGTTTCTCAAGAGAAACCAGTGTGGAGTTCATACCCTTAATTTTTACCACAAGTGGCTTAGAAGTTCGGAAGAGTTGAGAAAGCTGGAAGGAGAGGCACAAATACAGTTGGGTAGTCAAGATATATTAACAGGTATCATAGATTTCATACTGCAGTAACTGAGATAGGTATTGCTGTTAGCCATCCCTACGGACCATCTCAAAACCATATCAGAGCCTGCTCTTCCACCAATGGCTTTCAGTTTTGGAATGTTCTCTGCCTTCTTACAACCGGATTTTCAAGAGAACTCAGCACATGGAGTACTGTGGTTCTCTGAAAATCTAGTTCCAATAACAACTGATAACCCAGATCTTGTTACCCAAGTTATAGCAGCTTTTGGAAGGTATCGTTTTTCCATATAAAGAGCAGAAAGTGAAGGGAAGGCTGCTAGGTGGCAGCTGTGTGTAGTTGTTCAGTCCTACTTGGATGTTACATGTGTTCTTAATGACAGTCTGTCTCAGTCATTTGTTGCTATATTGACTGACAAATGAAGAAGTTTTACAGTGAGCATTGTTGTGTTGTGTAGGCATTGTGTTGAATCTGGACTTTCAAAGAATATTTCTTCAAGTTAAAAATGCCACATATCTACCCTGTCTTAATGACAAAACATTGTCTAAATTCTGCCCTTATCTCCATGGGGTTTCAGCAGGTGTGATCAAGTGAAGAGCAAAAGCTGTTAGAGGCCTAAAAAAAGTTGATCTTGGTGCAGTTCTTAAGGCCTGTTTCTTCCTAAAGTTCTGAACTTCACAGTTAGTTTATTCTTGTTATTTGTTAGGAATGTCTGAAATACAGGAAATATTCCACAAAACTATAAATCAGAATTTTGAATCAATGTTTTCAACCACTTCTCCAGCTGCTTGGATAATAAGGATGGATATTTTGCAAAAAAAAAATTCTTGTTTTTTTCATCCGAAGACCTACGTTCAGAAAAAAATTGACCAAGTTGTTTGCTTTGGACATTTTAGTTGTAGCTGAAGAAAGGCCAGGCCATATTAATCTTTGCTGAAGAAAACCTTAGATGAGACTGAAAGCCTCATTTTGGACTCAAAAAACCTAGAAGTTTTGAAGATTATTTAGGTTTTTGGATACTTCTTCCAGCAGAAATCAAATTGCAAGGGCCAGATTGTCATACAAAAGCAACTATAAAACTCCAAGGTCATTTATGCATCTCTTTTATTAATGCATTTAAAAAGACTGTGGGCACATCTATATGAGATGCTTTACTGTGCATTAGACTAATCTAATACCCAGTAAAGTATCACCATCTACATGTGTGTGGGACTTACTGCACATTAAATTAGTCGAATGTTCTGTTTGCCAATACCAACACATACAGGTAACAAATAAATAGTGCATTAGTTAATGCACCACAGCACATGTGTAGACACTGGCCATGTCTGCACGAGTGGTGGACTGCACAGTTGTTACTGCACAGTCATTTAGTACTTGCATAAGCAAGGACTAAATGTGCAGTAACTGGTGTTACTGAACAGTACCATCACTGCATGTTTTTTTCCCCGATGTTACTATGCAGTAGCAGCAAACTCATTACTACTGTGCAGTATCATTTTTACACAGTTAGTGCCCAACAATGCTACTGCATGGTAGCAATGAGCTACTGCACAGTAGCTCATTGCTACTGTGCCATAGCAACTCATGTAGACATGCCCACTAACAATTTACTCCTGGTCAGCTCAGGCAGCAGGGGACCCGCTGCTGGCTGGCTAAGCCCCAATGCGGGAGCAGCTGTCCCGATCCTGATCCCTATGTGGTCAGGAGAGCTGTGCCAGCTACAGGGGCAAGACAGATGCCCCTGCAGCCAACACAGCTCTCCCCACCTGGTGGAGATTGGGACCAGCCTCTGGGCCCCCTGCCAACGCTGAAGCTGGCACCCAGGGAAGCCTAAAGCTCCCCCTTGCTGCTGCAGGGGGGCAAAAAAGGGCAGGAACAGCCCAGGATTGAGCTGCTCCTGTCAGGCACAATTTACTTCTGACAGGGGTGCGCATGTAGATATGCATTCAGGAGCACATTAATGAGCCTGAATTTTCTGACCAGAAAATTCTGGCACATTAACTGCATGTGTAGATGCGCCCTGTGGGTACAATCACAACAGCTGTGTCCCAGTGCTAGAAGAATGTGCCTTTCTGAATGCCTCACCTTGAAAGTTTTGTACCCAGCCAGGAAGAAACTGTAGCAGTGAAATGACTCATTAGGGTCTGTTCATAGGGAGCATAGGTCTAAACATACAAGGTTCAATGCTTAATCATTTCCACAGAGAAGTTTAAGAGTGAAATTCACTAACCTCAGGAATCAGACCTGCCAGGTTCAATGTCATTAGCTGGTTCTAATGAAGGAAAGACAGTGTCAGTCAGCTGGATGCATCTGTTTCTACTTTAGAATGTTTACAAACATTGTGTCCATGAAAATAACTGTCCCTCCTCAGCCACATTCTTTAATTATCAGAAGGGAGGAAAGGATGTACTGGGTCACTATGTACTCATCTGCAGCAAGTACAAGTTCTACGTGACAAAGGCCCTTGGCCATCCCATCAAGGAATTCTGAAGGATTTGCAGCCTCTCCTCATTGGGCAGGATGGCCCATACTGCACCTCTGCCTCTTCCTAGCAGGCCCCTAAAAGATAAATTGTAGGATCACAGCTATGTGTTTGAGAAGCAAACAGGGTCCAGGTTACAACTAGGCAGGAAAAATTTAGTTCCAACTCAAACATGTTCTCCATATGTTTTTTCCACTTATGGGCAGTCCTCAAGGAGATGGCAACTTCTCATTATACAGCCCCTTGATGGCAATAGAACCACAGGAAAAAATGATTTGCAGTCAAATGCTACCCCATAGCACACCATGGCCTTTAAGCACACCATGCAAAGCATTATGCTGTTCCTTAGGCATGGACTGCATATGCATTAAGATCAGGCAAGCCCACAGGTGTCTGTGCCTGCCCTCTATAGAAGCACAGTCATTTTTTTTATAGTCATACATGTGATGTTACCACCATCTTACCCCTCCTTGGTTTGTGACATTGACACTGGCAGCACCAGTCAGAACAACTATACCATTGCTGATGAAGTCCTTGCTCAGGGCTAGCTGGAAGTTGGCACTGGGCAGTGGAGTGACATGGAAGGGCACAGAGCTGGAGGGAGCTCCGGGCAGGAATGCTTGAAATGAAGCCTGTTGGGTTGAAGGAAAAGGAAAGAAGCTCTATGAAACTCTCTGAGGAGTGACTTAACCTGGAAATTTACTGGTTTTAATATCAATTAGTAGGCAGCATTGTTGCCTTCTCATGATCCAGAACTCACACCCACAGGAAGCTAGAGCCAACTAGCAATGCTTCTCAGCCAAGCTCATTAGGTGGAGTCCCCAGCTGAGAGAGGGGTCTACAAGGGGGCACCTTTCAGAAACCTCACACAGGATGTAAAAAACAGGTCGAACACTGTTGGGAGCATGAGCTCCTGGTACCCTCACGGTACTCATGTTTAGGGACCATGGTCCCCTTCAGCCCATGGCCTCTTCTCAGTGGACAGTCCCTCTCTAATGAATGCCTGTGTTCTTCCCTTTTTCTAGACACATCATTCTACCTCCAGGTGCCACACTTTTTCTGCATGCACAAGACTCACACACACTGACAATACCATACTCTCCCTCAGCCGTGTACATTTCTTTTCACATCCTTGATGTAAGACTTACCCCTATGCTCACAAGTGTTACCTTGAGGTAAAGAGGCTGCTTTTGACATTTTAAAGCACCCAAGTTGTGCAAAACTCCTGGCCATTTCACCCAAAAGGCTCATGGCAAATCAAGATTCCCAACGTCCAAAGCCACAATTATCTTTGCAGCCAATGGGGAAAGCAAATGGGGGACTAAGCCTTGCAATTCTGGGTTCAGAGAAGGTAGAAGAATCAATATTTTATCTATGGTGGTAATTGGTAAGTACCTTACTGTCATTATGGCACCACTTATCCTTTACTATGTAGGGATATGCCTGGTAATATCAGCTGTTGCCACAGTTCCTAACCTGCCATGGTCATTTATCAAAGGAAAGAATCCAGTCTGCCATCCTCATACTGACAGACTATCTTGCTCTATGTGTGAGATAGATCAGATGGTTTGGGGAGTGTAGGCAGAAATGGCTGAAATGGCAAAGGTTCTGTATTTATAAGATAAGCAGCCAGTTCAAACACAGCACAGTTTGGCATAGATCTGAAACTGACTACTCAGGATCAGACACCACAGCTGCTCAGCTGGGCCATGGTGCAGAATATCAATTTGCCTTCACACTCTTTTCTGCTGTGTACAGATACTTACCTTGCACTCATCACTGTGCTGTCTGAGGCCTTTGATGGTATGGGCAGATCCTTATTACACAAGTGATGGATTTATATAACAACACAAGTTACTTATTATAGAGTATCACATTACAGTCCAGAGGTAGTCAGTCAATCTGTGGCACAGGTACTACAAGTGGCACGGGCATCCTCTGTGTGTGGTGCACAGATGATCAGGGACGGGACAGGATGCACAGCAGCATCTAGGGCAGGGGAAAGGGATCAAATTAAGGAGGGTGCAGGGCTAATTTGTGGCACACCTGCCAAAAAGGTTAGCTCCCATCATTATAGTGACAGCAGATTCCCCCAAGATGATTTTAGCATCAACAGCTTTCCTGCCTGGAGGGCTGTTTATGGACACAGACTTAAAATGCAAACCTACCTGACTAAAATGGGGGTGATAGAGTGGATAAGGCAAGAGGGAGAAGTTCCAAAGGCATGTGTTTGAGCCTGATTTGGACTCGTGCCAAAGGCCGCCTCCAGTCATAGATTGTAAGGCCGGAAGGGACCTCAGAAGATCATCGAGTCCAGCCCCCTGCACCAAGCAGGAAAGATAACTGAGGGTCAGGTGACCCCAGCAAGGTGACTGTCTAGTCTCCTCTTGAAGATTTGCAGGCTAAGTGATTGCACCACCTCTGGATGGAGCTTATTTCACAGTCTGGACACTCTGACTGTGTAGAGGTTTTTCCAAATGTTGAGCTTGATTTGATCTTCCAGGAGTTTGCAACCATTAGTGGTGACACGTAGGAGGTGCATGGGGGTGCACATGCACCCCTTGCCAGTGCTGGTGCACACCCTGACTGGCTGCGCTCCCCACTTAGGTGATGGGCCGGGGGGGGGGAGGCAGGTGGGAGCACTGGTACCCCCCTGTGAGCACCGGCCAGGGACTGCGAGCACTGGATGTAAACTGTGGCCACTTCCGGAAGTGCCGAAGCCATTTTTGGGAGCAGCATGGCTGCTTGCTGGTCGGTAAGTGTTGCTGCAGGAGGATCCTCCCAGTCGGTGAGATTGGCAGCAGGGGGCAGGGGGACCCCCCCCTCCAGTCACTGACTGGT